ACTTTGGACATGTTGCTAGGAGGTGCTCTTCCTTGGAGAGAGACATGATGTTGGGAAAGGTGGAGGATAGGTAAAGGAGAAGAAGACCCTCGACAAGGTGGTTTGATGCATTGACTGCCACAGTGGGCTCTTTTGTGTCAGGAATTGTGAGGATGGTACAGGATAGAACAAGTTTCAGATCTTTTTCATTCGGTCGCTGTAGGTTGTACTCAACAGCAGCTAACAACAAACACCGACTGGAGGCTTAGCTTCATGGCACTTAAGAACAAATAGTACATGTAAAAAGTTGTTAAATTGTCAGATGTTTTATATATTTTTATTAAAATAAAAAATTAGTTTGATATATAATTGAACATTACAGGGAATACTTGTGATTTATTTTTAGACATTTCTTTTTAATTCATAACAATGGAAAGATTATATTTAAAAACAGCTGTATTACTTAAGCAGAAAAATAAAAATCAGTAACCAGATCCTAGAAGTTCAGGACTGAGACACATAATAGGACATGATTTTCAAAGAGCTAAAAAGCAAGCAGATACTAAACAAATGCAGAAGAAGAATGAAGAAATATCAAAGTACCTAAAGAGTCCACTGAAAGCTCCCCAGGCCAAAACTCGAATAATTCTAATCCCATGTATTATCAAATAGATACCCGTGTCCATACTGATGTAAGCAAGTAGTTGTAAGTCATTTATGAAACTCTGCCCTCTTAAAATAAGCGCTGCTGGCTTCTACATACATGAATTGGAGAAAGAGAACGCTTTCAAAAGAATTTCACATGCACATCCTTCTTTCTTCAGGAAATATGGGCTGAATTTGTTGAATTGCTTTCAAAGAGTACAAGCTACAAGGGAGAAGAATGTAACTTTTGCTTGTACACAAAATTAAATTATTAAGGTTATCATCATCATCAGTGGAGGTCATGTTATCATGTCCCCTCTTTCCCATAATTTGTGTTGCAAGAGGCACAACACTTTTATGCTCGTCTTCCCCTACCTTATTCTAAAAAGATACTACCACACAAACTCTAAATTAAGGATATACTGCAAAATAGAAAATATTTTAAAAATATCTTCGTTTTAAACAAAGACAAAACTGAGAACAAACAAGTCCGACTATAAAAACAATAAAGCATGAAAACGAAATACAGAAAACTGGCTTGGATCCTGGAGCAAAAAGATAATAATAACTAGAATACTAGTGGAAATCCGAATAAAATTTAACATGTCATTAGTAGTGAACTGCCACTATTTGTTTCTTAGTTTTGCCATGTTTTGTGGTAATGGGAAGAAGGAGGTAAGAGGTGGTTATAGAGGAACTCTGAATAAATTTGTTCCTCTTTTGCTAATCTGAAATTGTCCCAAGATAAACGTTTATCTAAAACGAATAGTGAGACTTGTTTTTTAATAACAGAGCTTTCAGTTGGTATTTAAACAGATCTGAACAGAGGAGCAGAAACACTCTGTTTTATGCAGTTTGTAAAAGCTTGTTAGAAAAATGGAAATCCAACATTTCCAAAATCCAGTAAGTTTTCCTCAAATCCAGATGGCATATTCTACTTCATGAAATCCAACTTCTTGTATTTTTTGCTCAGCATACTTACTGAAACCCCAACACACTCCTTTCCTGATTTTTAATTGTTCAATGTCTGATTTACAATCACCCTATGTAACAGTAGAATTCCTCTTTAGAATTTCTTAGGCTGTATACAGTTTGTTGTTGTTGTTGTTTAATGCCTTCGAGTCGTAGACGACTCATAGCGACCCTATGAACGAACAGCCTGAGCACTGTTCGTACATAGAGTTTCCA